AATATTTAAAAGATGCTCATGATACCATTTGAAGTAATGGGGGGGAAGGAAACCGGCAGCGGGTATAGGTCAATATAATTTCAGTACGAAATCCACTATTAAAAATTTAATTCCCCCTTCCCCCTGCATGAACGTCACCCCGCGAACTTTTCTTCCTGGGAGTTTAACCTATAAAATCAGGAAGCCTAAGGTGGCTAGCTCTGAACCCAAATAAATAAAGTGTTCAATAAGAAATGGTGTTGGGTGGGGCGTGGAAGACGCGAATTCAGAAGCGCTGCGCGCCTAGGCTGTGAGCTGATCTGTCCAGGAAAGGCTTCTCCCGGCGCGGCGGACCAGTCTCGGAGGGGCAGAGGCGAGCGGCGGAGCCGGGCGAGGGGCCTTGCACCGCCCAGCCGCGAAGGGAGAGAACCCGCACGCTCGCCTGTTACTCCAGCGCCTTCTCCACGCCTCACAAGGGCCTGTGAAGCGCTCGGGGGACGGTGGATGACGGTGCAAAACACAGCACACTCCGCCTCCCTTCCATCACATTCCAAACGCTGGGCATTAGGGTTTTCCCAATTCCCTGTCCTCCTCACTGCCTTCAGCAGTTCGCTCCATCTACGGGATGGAGGGGGTTAGAATTGTTTCCTTTTTCCTGGGGGCTTCTATTGTGCCACCGCGCCAGGGCCAGCGTAAAACACAGAACATCTTCATAACCCTGCCCACCTCCCGGGAGCCACTGCCACGCGCTCTCCCAGCCCCGCGCATCCGCAGGGCGTCCGATTTAGCCACCGTCCGACCTGAGCGACAAAAGGGCTTTTGGCAGCCAGGACAACCATCCTCGCCAGCCTATGACGAATTCAGATCTAGCCTACCCCCTCACTCCCCTTCACACAAGGTCACTCACCAAAGACGCGGCCACCGCGGAAAGTCGTTTTGACTTGGCAGGCGAGAGCGTTGCGCATGTCCAGCAGGCACCACACTTGGCTCATCCTCGGGGTCCCGGCCTGGCACCTTCGAGGCCTGCGCTGGCGAAGGGGCGCACGTACCACTGAGGAACGGTGTTCCTCGCCCCGGACTCTACCTCAGGCATACACTTTGGCTTCTCGCCCAGCGCTCCCCACACCCTTGCCGGGCAGTCCAAGCTCCGGCCTGCGCCCTGGCTGGTTCTTGCCCCGCGCAAGCACAGTCTCCCCACTGGCTTCAAACTCATCGCTTTTTCTCCATTACTTAAACGTTTGTCAGTGAAGAGTCACTTCCTCCGTTTTGACCCTGTGTTTCCCTATTGGGGATTGGAGGTGGGTGGAGGGGTGATGTCAGGATTAAAATTTTGGGAGTCTTATCCTGAGCACACAAGCCATAAACTGGCAGATTAATTCGCGTGAACAGTTGATCTCGGTAATTCGGGAGAAGAAAGTGCCCTGGGGGCACTGCACGGGCTTTGCCTGTCTCATTTAACTAGGGATTGCGCAGATAGGTGCACGGGACGCGCGAGCCTGACATATGTGCACGTGTGCGCGGAGTACAGATCTGCCCGCATGTTCGTGAGTGTGCCTGCTTTGTGTGCCCACCCGCGTACGCCGCCACCTTCTTAGGCCTCTGAGCGCCGCGGCTGCAAGCCTCAGGGCCGCAGGCCCTGGAGGGGGAAATCCTTTCGCAGAAGGTTTGAATTATTTCGCTCCGCGGGAGACCGGACCTCGGCCGCACTCGGCTGTGGATTTGGGCGGGAAAGGCCCAAACTCCAAACCCGAGCTGGGGAAGCCGGGTGGAGCCGGGGCTGGGGTCCGAGCGCAGATGGCGCCGCCGCGTGCCTGAAATACACTTCCAAGGCCGCAGCCGGAGCAACTGTTCCGGGCGATCTTGGCTCAAAAGTGTTCCTGTTGCTGCTTGGTGAGAGGCGGGGGCAAGCAGGCCCGAGAGTCAGGCTCCTCGGAGACCCTCTCAAGCCCGCGGCGGCTGCGTCCTGGCGGCTTCTCCAAAAGACGCGGAGTTCTGGCAATAATGAGGGCACCTCACAGGCCCTTCTCCAAGGCCCTTTGGGCCTCGGGGTTTTTCGGGACCAGCAGGCTCGGTGGAAAATTTTGAAATACATACTGTGTGTCCTCTGATGTGTGAGTTCCTACAGCGCGCAGGCTGGGCTGGTCCCCCGCTGCTGCAGGTTGACGCCCCAGGCTGCGGGCGCCCGGCGCCAACTAAAGCCAGCTCTGTCCGGACGCGGAAAGAAAAACGGACTGTGAAAAAGCAAAAGGCCACGTCTTTGAATAAAAGTTAAACATTAAAATCTAACCCCTGGGTTGTCTCAGAATCCTGGGATTTTAAGGCACGGACAGGGAGGGCTGGAAACGGAGGTACCAGTCAGGGAGGGAATGGTGAAAATGATAAACACAGTTGCTTTACGCGGGTGTCCTGTGTCTGTTTGCGTGTTTGTTTAATCCTTCCCCAAGCTCCGTGGCAATTTTGTTTCTGTTGTCGTCCCTCCCCCCCCCCCCCCATTCCTGACTTCTTATCATCGGCCTAGAGCAGGCGAGCCACGCGACGGGTCCAGCCTGCTCTCGATCCTAATCCGGGAAGAGAGTTTAAACAATTTGAGGCCAAGGACGGCAGAGACCTGGCCCCGGGCACAATGGAGTCGCCCGTGCCCCTCCCCGACCTCCACCACCATATACACACCTTTAAAGATGTGTGTTCATTAGGGCGCCGAATTAGAGGAAAAAGAAAGGCCTACAGGGAACCCCAATCCCTGGACTCGCCTACCGCAGAGCCGGCAGCTCCGCCTCCTCCACTCTGGGGACTGCGGAGGCTCCACGCCACCAAGCAGTTTTTCTGAAAGCTCTTTTCTCTTTCTATGTCCGGTTCGTAAGAAAGCTTTGGCCACTGCGGGGGCTCCAACTTGGAGATCCCCTCGGTGCACGACGCAGCCAGGCCGGGCTGCTAGTCCGGCCCCGCAGATGGCCCGCAAGTACTCTCGGCTTTCAGCTTCTTCCTCCTCCCGGCCTCAACCCCACAAACATACTTCGTTTTCTCCAATCCAAACGCCCATCTTTTTCTTAAAAAAAAAAAAAATTAAAAATGATGAAATAGGAAGGGGTCAACTGAACTCTGTGTGACATAAAGTCCTATGTTAGGTCCTCACCTCCTACCCCCATACTGTGGGAGCAAGAGAACAGCATTTTGGACAACAGGTCCTCGCGTTTCTGTCTCTGGAATGGTCTCTTCTTGCCCCAACCATTTCTCTCCTCACTATGGCTGATGTAAACGCCGGAAATAGAAAACTGCAAGCTGAGTCTCATGATCATGACCCCACGTATTGGTCCTTTTGAACAAGCGACCCTAGACCAGCTCCGGCGGACCTGGACCCCTCCCTAGAGAAAAGTACCCGCGGACAGGATGTCTGCCACGCGCAGTTAAGCAACTTCTGTCTTTTCCACTGTCGGGAAAGTAAAATAACCTCCCAAACCATGAGTTGTCATGAGGCCTGAAAGAACTCCCACTAAACCGTGTGAAGGCACAAGTGAGATTTCCACAACATATAAATGCGGTGAGGAAACAGGATCTGGCCAGAGATGGGAAACACACATTAGCCACGCGTTCCTTTCTGGATTGCCCACACAGGGGTCCGCGTGGACAGGCACCCGCATCCAAATACAGGGAAAGATTTGAGCGGACGAAATAAATCTCCTTTTAATTTTCTTTTCATCGACTAATAAAAATAATTCCCCAGCACTAAACTCAAATACCGTAACGGGCCACAAGAACACGGAGAATTCATAAAACTCTGTCTCTGCAAGTCACCCGCTAATCGCGTTATTATTAGCCTCAGGAGCATGGAAATTGAACTGTCACTGCCGAAAGAGAAAATGTAAGCGACAGCTGTCCCTCCCTGGGTCGGCCAGTTCTCCAGCCCCCAAGCCCCTGGGCCCCAAGCTCAGTCCCCAAGTTCTTCGGCCCGTGGCCGCCCCCATCCCTTTGCGGGCCGCCGCCACCACCCTGGCTTTCCGCTCCTGGCGCGCTGACCCAGGTTTACTCCCTAACCCTAGCTGGTCAGCAGGAGCACCTCCAGAATGGCAGCAGAAGTCCTGGCTGGAAAGTTTCTGAAACCTCTAAACCAAGCCGCGACCGTGCGTGCGTGCGTGTGTGTGTGTGTGTGTACGCGCGCGCCCGCGCGCGCGCAAGATTCTTCCGACAACAGCTGTTCCCCCGGGCTGTTTTGCACAGTTGAAATCTTGGCACTTAATATAAAACGTTAAGTTGTCCCCCCCCCCTTCAACTACCCTCCCAGGTTTCTGCTAAAATACAGACACCAACATCCGCTCTGTGTTTTACGTGTTGTGTGCATATAATGTGCATAGATCTGAGACACAAATTAATCGCTCCGCTCCCCTCCAGTACACAGAGATGTGGGCCCTGAAGAGTGACCCAGGGCGCAGGGTAAGGGGTCTAACATACAACTTTTTTCCATAAACGCCAACGAAGTAGAAATATAATTATGCTCCGTCGTCCCCGGAGTAGGGGAAACACAAGAACTTGAGTCCCAGAAAAGTTGGTGGGGGAAGGGCGAGGACCGAGGTCGAAGGCTAAATGGGACAAACTGGGCATTTCCCGAGACTGGGTGTCGAGCCCGAGAATTCAGCGCCAGTCCTCTGGAGCTCTCAGAAGCGAATCCCAGCCCCTCTCCGCTCCTGCGGTCGCCTTCGATCTGCGCCCCTCCTTCACCCCAGGGGCCTGCGGCCGCACAGCTGTGGACACCAGAACAGTGCGCTCCGCTCCCAGAAGAAAAAGGGATGCAAGCGAGGCCTCCTTGCCTGAGGTTGGCGACGAAAATGCAAGGCTCAGTTCCCCTCAAATTGTTTGCCGCGAATTTGGGGAAGGCTCAAGATATTTGCGCCAAGAAAAGGAAACCCGCGTTGGAGCAAGGCAGGGAGTCAGCGAGCAGGGCCTCCTTCCACACCACTCCGCCCGCGGGCTGGCCGCCCGGTGTCCCCTCTCCGCCCGCCTCCCTCGGTCTGATCCTGCGCACTCACCCGGGTGAGGCTCCAGGCCCTGTGCGGCCGCGTCCTCCGTGTCTCCGAGTGGGCCCGCGGGGCTCAGCGCCTCCATGGACAGGTCCAACCCCTTCTCCTCCCAGTCTCGCAGTTTCCGCTTTTTATTTGAGCCGATCAAGGCTTCAACGGAGAAGGCATGTGCTCGCGAGCTCAGGGCGACTGCAGATCTTCTCCTTTCACTCATCTTAGCCGCCCGCACCCCGGCCTCCGCTCGCCCCCGCTACTGAGGGAGCAGCCCGCGCCCTCACGCTCGGAGCGCCCTCCGGGCCGGGCCCGGGAGAGGCGGCGGCGCTGCGGGTCCTCTGCACCCTCCCCCTGCGTCCTCCCCCGCCCTCCGCAGCCGGCTCCGACCGGCGCCCCTAGCTGCCCCAGCCGCTAGGAACGAGCGCCCGGAGCGCCGCCCGCTCGCTGCATGAGCGCCCGAGTCCTGCTTCCCACCCACCGGGGCAGGCGCTCACAGGCTGTGCAGACTGGACTTCATCTTTTTTTTATTCTCTCTCCTCCCTCTCCCTTTCTCTCCTCCCTCTCCCTCTTCCTCTCTTGGTCTTCCCGTCCTTCCTCTGATCCAAACTTCTGGGAAACTTTTTTTCTAAATTCCTCCCTTCCCGAGGAGCTGGGGGCAGGCGGTGCGCTCCTGTCCGTGGGGTGAGGGAGAGGGAGGGGGAGGAAGAGAAAGACTGAGGGGGAAAAAAGCCAGCCCCCGACCAATGGCGAGGAGGGAACAGGAGAAACCCTGAGAGCGCGGGCCAATGAGAGGAGGGGAGAGACCGAGGCTCGGGCCAAGGCTCCGCGCGGGTAGTCCGGGAGATGCTCCTGGGCCGACTTTAACCCCTGGCTTCCCGGTTCCCCACGGGTTCTTCATAGGGGAGGGAGGAGGGCCGAAAGTCGAGGTCTGATCTTCGCCGTTCCAAACTCCTGCCGGTCCCAAATCCGTACCTTTCCCTTCCAAATCTGCTAAGTCTCATAGACGCAGCAAGCCCAGTCATTTTAATTACCGATCTGGAGTCTGGGGGCTCCCAACCTCTCCAAAAACGCCCGAAAACGACTCCGATAATCTCGCGCCTGCCCCCAGACGCTATTCGCTCTTCTGGTTCCGCCGGGATTTCGCCACACAGGTTACTTTCCTGTGGTACGATGTCTAAGCAACTCTGGCTAAGGCTAAACGAAAGAAATAAACAAAGACGCCCGGTTACTATCCAGGGTCTTGTAATTGTAAATCTAATGATCGCTTCCTCCTTCCAGTTCTACCTGGTGGAGGAGACGCAGGCTCGGCTCCCTCAAAGCAAGAGGCCGGCGGTGGGGCGCGCGGCTTACCGCGCGCTCGGCAAACTTGTTCCGTCTGCGCCCGCACGCAGCAAACGCTCGCCTTCCCTTCCGCGTGGATGCTGATCTGAGCGTTGCCTGCTCGGGGCGCCTGTTCTGGAGAACCCACAGAGAAGGGGTGGGCAAGGGCAGCCAGTAACTCTGACAGCGGAAGAACTTTTTCAGAATGCCCTTCAAATCTGATCACCTCGGGAACCCGGCTCTCCCCACTCACTGATCCTCCTTCCACTCTTAAAAAAAAAAAAAAAAAAAAAAAAAATCTTTTAGGACAGAGCGGTCGTCAGGGATTTCTCTGGAACTTACAATCCCGCACTCTGGACATGCTCATTTCCCACACCCCCTCCTGGGTCACGCTACTGGTCATGGGCTGCAGGAGACCGCGACCGCAGCCCAACGCAGAGAGCCAGTTCAGAGGGGCCGAGAAGTTGATCCTGCGAAGCAGGAAAAAAAAGGTCCCGGATTTCGCGGACGACGGCCTAACCACAACCTGATCTTCCCATCCCAAAGCCCTGGTCGACACTCTTCCATCCCCGCGCGAAGAGGCAGGAAAGAGCCAGCTCCCCGGGTGCCACGGACAGACAGAGAAGCTCGGCAGACACGTCTCGCCGACAGCCAGGCCCTGAACAGGGTCAGTAAGCCTAGGGCAGAGGGGCCCACGGCCAGTCACAGGCCCCCCAAGAACAAGCGCCCATCTGCCCTTCCACCCTATCCGGCCTCTGAAAGGCCACATTCGCCTCCCAACCGCAGGGTAAATCTAGTCCTTGATATTATAGTTGGAAGTTGTCCGGTGCTGGAGGCAGCGGCTAAGTGTCATGAATGCACCTAGGGCCTCTTCGGAAGCAAGCAAAAAAGAACACTTCTGGAGCCCCCTCACATTGGGCATCAGCCAGACAGGAGGAAGCTAGTGGCGCAGCAAATGCAGAAAGAGTGATGGAAGCCACCGGTTGAGTGCGAGGCAGCCAGGCCTCTCTCAGGCTTGGAAATCCTGGAACAGCACTCCAAGCACCCTGGGACCTAGAAGTCGGCAACAAAGCCCCTCTGTGTCTCCCGCCTGGCTGCAGGGCAAACTCCAGGAGCCTGGGTGGCAAGGCGCACGGTTTCCCACCTCAGTCACCGCTTGGCGTGGCTGCCAGGAGCCACGGCAGAAAGTGACAGCGCAATCACCACAATGGGGCCTCAGCAAAAGAGTTGGAGACAAGGGCAGGCCAGGAGCACCCAGTCACCTTCTCCTGCGGCTTAGATCTCTTTTGGCTCCTGATTCTGGTGTCACTGCCCAGAACTGGGGCCTGTTGGGACCAGACCAAGTGGGATAACAGTGATGGGGCCAGCCTCCCTTCCTTACCAACATTTTCCTCCTCCCCATTGCCTGTATCTCCCATCTCCCTCTGGCAGCCTCTTGCCTTGGCCTTCCTTCACAGACCTAGTTGGGATTGCAAGTAGATGCATCATAGGACATACACCCTCCCTAGGGCTGCAAAAGTTTCTCAAAAAGAGAACTTTTGGTTTACCCACATACCAAGATGCAGGTCCAGAAAGCCCGCACAATGTAGGTGACCATACACACAGGTTGGAGAGACATGCATAGAAAAGATAGCCCTGCCTTCAACAGCATGCATCTTCACCTCACCCCCAAACATACACACTGCATAGAGTTCTCAGAGGAGCTCCTACACCCTTCCTTCAGTTCACACATAAGTTGCCCCCACCTCCATCCCATATACACATATATCTTAGAATTGTGGATTAGGCCATTAAACAAATCAGAGGGTCATGAAGCCAGGTTGCTTTGGATCAGTCATGAAAATAGGAGTTTTCCTCTAGGTAAATGGGAGGGCCAGGGATATTTTCTTTTTGTGACTGTAGGGGTCAATCTAAATTTCCCCCACCCCCAGGGGCCTGCATTCCTTGGTTTGTGACCCTATACTGATGGGAAGGGAGGTCTGGAGAAAGATTAAGCAGGATGGTTTAATGGCTGTGACTTAAGTGTATAATTCTATGTGATTGGGAGAAGAAGAAAAATGGGACTGGGGGATTCAATGTAGAAATCTGGGAGTGTGCTATGCATTTTCCTCCACTCATATCAAAGAGTTTTCAAAATCTCATGACCCAGTTTCTCTTTCCTTTCACCTTTAGGAATAAAAGTGGGATGCCCAATGCATGAAGCTAATTCCTGAGGCAATCCCCAGATCTCCCAGCCACCAACCTTAGGTCTTGGGTGGAGTCTAAGGCCTGACTCCACCTCAGGCCTGACACTGATGGGAAAGGAACAAGCTGGAGCCAGACCTCCCCCCACATCCTGCCATGCCCCCCTGCAGGGTCCCAGAAAGGAAGAGAAGGTTATTAAGCACCTGAGAAGTCAGAAGGGATCAGGGGAAAGTGGAAGAGAGGACCCCACTGACTACCTGTAGGGACCTATGGAAAATGGATGACCAGTCCTAACCTTGACAGGAGGAACGCCCAGAAGCAAAGAGCAGCATAATGACTACTCACCTAAAACTGGCCATGTCCAAATATTTTGATTTTTCAAAGGAACAACAGAGTTCTGCAGCGTAAGGACGAAAGTCCTGGAAACACAAGCCCCTACATCCCCCACATACCAGTCTTCCTTCTGTTTCTCCACACTAAATACCACCACCACTGCTAATGCCTCAATACAAGGTGATCTACCAGATGCTGGGACTTTGCAGTTTTGAGTAATTGAAAACAAAGTTAAAAATCGTTGCCAGCAGGACACGTTAGTCTGCCCTTAAACACGTGGGCAGGACACCAGGTGGGGGTGAGGCAATTACAACGAATTCAGCCTGTCTAGGCATTAGATATAAAACATTATGAGGCGACTATGGGGTGGGAGGTAACCCTCTGGACTCCAAGGCAGGTGAAGCCTAGCGAACAGGTCCCCTTCAGCATTTAACTGTGTGACCTTAGGCAAGTCAGTGCGTGGCCTGTGCCTCAGTCTCCTCCGGCAGAGCGAAGGAGCCCTAAATACTTTACAACTAAGCAAAGCAGGCAAGATAATGGGTCGGAGGCGGAACAGACCTTAGGCTTTATTGTTGCTGTGATCGAATCTTCTGGGAATATGAGGCCAGGGTACCCACTTTTCACTTCTTCTTCCACATTGGCGCCCAGTTATGGGGTGGCAAAACTGGCCTGGAGCCCTCGGGTGGGCGTGGGAGGGAGCCGATTTCTGGAAACGCCCGCCCGATGCCAGCCCCGCGGAGACTGCGCAGGCCCACTCTGGCAGCCCGCATCTCGAGTCTCCGGGTTGGTTCAGGTTGCCGGGCGCTTCGCGATGGCGTGCGTCGTTGACTGTTCAACCACCCCCTCACACTTTTTAAAATAAATGTCCGTGGGGGCAAAAGGGTCTTTAATGATGTTTTTTTGTTTTCGCGAAATAAAATCTTTTGTTTTTATTTTAAACCAGCAGCGTGCCCACCTCTTGGTCCTTCCAGATGTTTGCAATAAAATCGCAGGTTTTGCCTTTGGGACTGGAAATAAAATTTAACGGCCTTCACCCTGTAATTATTCTCTTAGCTCGCCCTTCATAAATTTATCTGCTTTCTATCGGCGTTGGGGTAGGGGGCGAGCGAAAGGGGAGAAAGCCCTGATTTTATATTTGTGACTATAAAAAAGCGCCACCCGGTTGCTTCGCCTTCGGCGGCCGGGTGTAACCCGGAGAGCCTGGCCCGGCGGGCGGCAACATTGCGCTATTGTTCGCTGCCCTCGTTCTGCGCGGGAGCTGGGCCCCTCCACAAAGGGGGCCTTGTGCGGCCATGCCCGGAGCGGCCGCGCCCAGGAGACGAGGAAATCCTGTCCCCCCAGGCCCAGCGCCTCTTTTCCCTGAGCGTATCGTGCAAGCCGGCAGCCGGACCTTGGCCTTCAGTTTGCGCCCGCCGTGCACGCCGCCAGTTCCTACCCTGCCAGCTTTCGCAGGAAGCGAAACCTCGAGCCTGCGCGGAGCCCACGGAGGGAGGGGGAGGGAGGAGCCTGCCTCTGCATACCCAGGAGCTAGGAAAGGCGGGCACGAGGGCGTCGGGCTAGGGGGCTTTCTGCAAGGCCCTCCAGCCCCTTTCCTTCGCCTTGCTTGGCCTGCGCTGGAAGGTAAAATTCCGGCACCTTCCTGAGCTCAGGGTTGCTGGGCAACCCTAGGCAACCCAACCCAAAGTCAGCAGATTCTGAGGACACCAGCGTGCACCCCCAAATAAACGTGGCTACATCAGTAACTACTATGTACTTGTATAGGCAGCTTGTAAGTAAAAGGTTCATGCACCTATTTTGCATGACTATACAAAGCCATGGTTGTATCTGTCTGGCAGTATACAGATGCATGCACACACCAAGTGCAGCTACATGCGTGTAT